CGTTCTAGCGCTTATCGTGGGAAAGCTTGCGCTGGTGCGTCGCGAGCCGCTCGGTGGGTACTCTATCTGGACTAGAACGGGACAGTCGGAGCTCCTGGTGCCCGAGGGCGCGCGCAAGGCGACTGGATGGTTCCTCAAGAGCGACAACGCGCTGGTGGTGATTCACTGAGCTCGGAGAAAATCATCTTGAAAAAAAAAGCGGATCAGCCGCTGTAGCGGATTACCCGCTCATCCGCCCCTCCTCATCATCGTGCTCACCACCGTCATCATCATCACCGTCGCTCCTCCACGTCATTTTTTGTCAGTTGGCCCAGGGAAAAAAAGCAACGGCCGCTAGCGGATAAGCCGCCACATGCGTCGCGTCCCCCCCTCCTTCCACGTCTTCCTCCGCCGCCTGCCTCTCCGCTCGGCTCTCCTCCTTCATTTTCTGTGCCGCGAGTTTTTTTTTCTGCGTCAGCCCGTTCAGGTGGCCCTTCTTAGGTTAGTTAACTTAGTTGACTTATTTGAAACACTTATTTTTTGTATATGTTGCATGTTATGTCGGATACATATCCCTAGGTATGTTCTATCCGCAGATGTTATGGACATGTCAACACCTATAAGGTACTATATTGATAATGCAAACATGTCCAGACATATAACTAGGGATCGTGTTGCTTATAACTAGGAATATCGCAGGTTATAAATCGTACAAGCTACAACAACTCTGTCGGCCATCCAAGTAGTCCGGGGGGGGGCCCTTGTAGTCCGGGGGGGGGGCACTGAAAATCATATCGTCGCCCCACAGTGCTCCCTTCCCCCTCCCGCCCCCTTTCGCTTTTCAAGTTTTGTTCCTCGTTTCCTGTCCCTTGTCAAGTTTTTGTTCCTTGCTTCCGGGTCATTGTAGTCCGGGGGTGGGTTCCTGTAGTCCGGGGGGGGGGCCCTTGTAGTCCGGGGGGGGGTCCTGGTAGTCCGGGGGGGGGTCCCTGTAGTCCGGGGGGGGGGCCCTTGTAGTCCGGGGGAGGGGCCCTTGAAAGCCGGGGGGCCCCTGTAGTCCGGGGGACCAGAACTATTGAGGTACTCAGAGTAATCCGCGGATGAGTGACTTTCCAAAGTTACCCTTGCATCCTTCCCCTGCGGCCCACCCTTGGCCCCTTTCGCTGGCCGCGCCCCGCTCGCAGAGCGTCGACGTGGCCTTCCAGGGCAATCGTGCGTCGTTAGATCATACGTATTGACTGAACGCCATCGTTCGTAAATTCTCTTTCTTCTCGTCGCCCCCCTTGCGTCTGAAGGGGATGGGGATGTGGGCACGGGGGGCGGGCTGCGACAGTGGTCGTTAGATCATACGTATTGACTGAACGCCATCGTTCGTAAGACCTCTTTCTTCTCGTCGCCCCCCCTTGCGTCTGAAGGGGACGGGGCTGTGGGCGCGGGCGGGCTGCGACAGTGCCGCCGCGTGCCGCCGGCGTCGCCCCCGCTGCCTGGCACCCCTCTCGGCGCGTGCCCCCCCCCCGAGGCGCCTGGGACAGAGCCGCCTCCACGCTCTTGGCCGAGCCGTCGCGGGCCGTTGGCTGAAAGCAGGTACTGAGAAAGCGAAAACGCACCCCCACCCCCAGTCCCGACCCCATTTCCGAACCCTCGATCCGGGGGGTCGGTGCTGGGGGTGGGGGTGGGTTTTCGGGGTCCAGGAATAGAGAAAACCCACCCCCACCCCCAGTCCCGACCCCCCGGTCCTGTTTGAAATCCGCCGCTCGGGACCTGGACCGTGCGGGGTGTGGCTTGGCCATGGTATGTCATGGTGGCAACCTTTTAGGTATGGCGCTCGGCCCAGCGTGGAACAACATCTTTTATACTGCCTGGGTGGGAGAGTTGTTCACTTCGCGTGCTGTTTGCGGCGCCCTTCTTTCCAGACCAAGCAAGCTCGCCAGTGACAGTGCCAATGTTGTGCACATGCGCGCCCTCTCAAACCGTGCCCGACTGTCGCCCAGCCGACCGTGCGGGGAGATGGTGATGCAGGGGCGGGCGCTTGGGAAAGAGAAGATGAGTTGTTGCGAACACGTGAAGTCCCACCGAGCGAACGACGACCTTCACATTTCTTCCCACGATTTTTTTTGCGGGTCGGCAGTGACTTTACCGACCGCGCGGCGAGACTTGGAGCGTGGTCGCGCCCGTCTGCTTCGCCTGCAGTGGTTGTTGATTTTAATTATTCAGTCTTGTTATGAGAGCTTTATCTCAGGCTTGCTGCGGAATTGCCCCCAGTATAGCCTAGGATTGACTTGTTGGAGGCCCTTGGGTCCAACCCAGTTGCACCCAAGGTTCGAGAAGCCTCCAGACCCCACGCGTGGGTCCGGCTAGGCCCTCCTGAAGGCTTCCAGAGGTTTTGGCAGTGCTCGGTTTTTTTCGGTCGAAGCGCGACCCTGTCTACTCCTGCCCTCTCCCGAATAACTCTGCTGAGGTCTCTAAAGTCAGCGTGCAGTCTCTGCGAGATTTAGAAGATACATGTGAACATTTGATTGCTTCATTGACAGCATGGCCGTCGTGTGCACTGAGTGCAAATGTTACATGTCTGGTGCTCGCCTTGCCAAACATGTGGGCATTTGCACAGGTCGGTGGAAAGATCCCAGGACGGGCAAAGACAGGTATAACCAGGCCAGTTGGGAACCGAATACGCAAGGGACCCCATCCAAGGAGGAACGGAGTCGCCTTGCACGCTGACGCTTTCAGCGTGTTTCGGTGTGCAGTTGGCGGCCTAGCTGGAATCTCTCTCTATCTCTCTATTTCTCTTTGCTGCCTCGCGCCCGCTCTCGCGCGGGTCGGCCGCGCGGGCGTCGGGGGCTGCCGTTGCCTCCGCGCCGCTCCTCCCCCCCACGTCTTAAGGGTTAGTTTCAAACCCAGCAGCATCATGGCATCATGGCATGTCCGCAAGTGGAGGATCGTAAAAAGAGCCAATGGAGAAATCAACATGACATTACGAATCACGCCTAGCATTCAGGTTTTTTATGGATACTGAGGAATTCGACGCTGAGACGATTTCTGTTACGGCGCGTCGATCTTCGCAACGCCGTCTGGCTGGCGAATCGGCATGTCACAATTACCAGAAATTGGCTCCATGGACAGTGAACAGGCACGTCTGAAGGGCTGACCCACGCAGAGCCGTCCAAGGAAGCTGGAGAACAGGAGCGCGTGGCATGCTTTACCCTGTCACCCGGTAGCGCGGAGGTTCTCCGCGCGCCGCCGGGGCTTGCCCACTACATCGAAAGGTGTGGCTGCCCAATGCATGCCCAAAACCGGGCACTGGAGCACGAAGGGCCCCCCACGGGCTTTTGACGGCCCGTGGAAGTAGCATGAATCGGAAGTTTTCGTCCAAAAAGAGATTGCCTGCCCTTTCAAGACAGAGCTCACTCTCTTCAAAACTACGTCACACAACGCACAAAACATTGGCCTCGAACCGACGAGTCTCGACCAGGAATGAGATCAGAAACAAGCCCTCGACGGCGAAGCATGTACGGTCGGACCGAGGTATAAGATCGAGGTCGCTTCGGGAGGGTACCCTCGTGTTCTTCGTGCTTGTTGAATGTTCTTGTGCATCCTGGGAGGGTGCCCTCGACATTTTCTTCAGCTTGGCTGACGGAGGGTCTAATGTTCTTGATGGATGTTCTTCTGTCCTAGGCCCGACCGTAGATGATTCCTCCCCCTTCCCCTCCGCAGACACATTTTGCCCAGGCACCCTGCAGAGCGCCCGCCTGCCGCGACATCATCCGCAGAAGGGATCTGTTCACCGCCGCCCTGCCTTGCCTAGGCCATCCTTGGCCCCAGCAGATCGTACAGAGAGTGCGCATATACACATGCGTATGTGCATGTATATGCAAATGCATATGTACATGTAAATGTATATGATATGTACATGTGTATGCGTGTGTACATGTGTACTTACATGTATATGTATATGTGCATGTGTATGTGGACATGGATGTGCAATTGTATGCATATAGTGTGGCGTACATGCACATGCCTATGCGTTTGTACATGTGTATGTATATGTATGTGTGTAGGTGAGTGCACGTGTATGCGTACATGTGCAAATGTATCAAGACATGTGTGCGCGTACACATAAGCATGTTCGTATGTCGATGCATGAGTATTTGTGTGCATACATATGCACATGCATACATGTATACATATATCTATATGTGTATTTGTATTTGTATATGTAAATAGGTATGAATGTATGTATGTATGCATGTATGTATGTATGGTGTTCTGAATGTGTGTACGTTCACATACATACGTATACGCTTATGTACGTGTGAAGTATATGATCATACATATGTATAGGCGCACGTCTATGCACATGCATATGTAAATGTATGCGTGTAAATGTGCACAGGCCGTTTTTTTTATGTGCATGTGCACAACCCATAGGTACAACCAGATGCGCACACGTATACGTACATACATTCATGCATGTATACATACATACACATGTATGCACAAACATACATACATATTTACATACATACATACATACATACATACATGCATGCATGCATGCATGCATGCATGCATGCATACATACATACATACATACGTACATACATACATACATACACACATACATACATACATACATACATACATACAAACACATGCATATACACGTTGGTGTATTTACATTTATGTATGTATATATACATACATACACATCACGGCCACCCTGGCCTGGGGACGTCGTTTCTTCACAGCGTTGACCCCGAGAGGTCTGGACCTCTGCCTCATGCAGAACCTGTTTTCATCCCGGATCGCATTTTCACGGTCCCGAGGCCCAGCGAGGGCCCCCAGAGGTCGAAAACGGCCAACAGTTTCCCATTGTGTTTTTATCACGACGAGAGGCGGCGGGTTCGGGCATTCGATGGGAAAGCGGAGTTTTTCATCGATTAGCGCCGATTTAGCACCGATCAGTCAGCGTCGGTCAACGTCGACTCGCAAGGGCCAGCAAGGGTCCCCACGAGTTGCCGCAGAAGGTGGGTGGCGGCGGTGTGCAGAGGCCTCCTGCGCACATCATGGCCCTGGCCTTTGCCGCAGCGCCCGCGGCGCCCACCGCCGGCCCCGCGCCCGCGCTGCGCCCCGCCGCCTCGCCCGGGCTCGCCGCCGAGGGCGGGCCGGGCGTCGGCCTCGCGTCCGCGGCGTGCGCGCTGGCGGCCGCCGCCGGGGTGGCGTCCGCGGCGGGGCACCGCCGGGCCCCAGCCAGGACGGGTCCCGTTCCGCGGATCTCTGGCGACCGAGGAGGCCTCCGAAGAGGCGCCCTCGGCAGCAAGTCACGGGAGCCTGGTATGCCCTCTGTATCCCGTCTTCAGCGTCGGTTCGCGTCGAACAGCGTCTGGAGTCGATGCGATAGCGCCGATTCCGCGTCGGCGGTTAGCGTCGATTTGGCGTCGATCAGGGTCGATTTAGCGTCGATTAGCGCTGATTCGCAAGAGCCGACAAGATGGTACGGGAGGGTCCCGTGAGTGACCACCGCAAGGTCCGCCGCGCCCTGGTCGATTTCGCAAGAGGGGCTGAACAGTTTCCGCCCCACTCTTCAGGCTCCTTTGACGTCGACTTTCGCCCTGCTTTGCTGTCGCTGTTTCCGCGATGTTGCTGCGGAAATGTCCGCCCTTTCTCTCGTAGGCGGAAATGTCCGCCCGACAACCCAGACTTTTTCGTCGATGTCGGCGCTCGGCGGGCCACCGCCGCGCCCTGGCCAAGACGGGACCCATTCTTCGAACCTCCGGGCGATTCCAGCGGCTTGCGCCATTCCGCCGACCCCTGGAGAATGAGGGAGAAGGAGGGAGAAGGTGAAGTGGACAACGACGGCGACTACGACGACGACGACGACGACGACGACGACGACGACGACGACGACGACGACGACGGTGGGAGTAATTAGGAAGGAGGAGAAGGAGGAGGACGCGCACGACGGGAGGGGTTTTGATGCTCTGGGGGCCTTATCGAGGTTCCCGTCGTGGAGCCTCTTTGGGTCAGGTGAGTCCGTCGGGGGTCGTCGCTGGGGCCTCCTTCATTTCAGGGTGGTCCGGCCAGGTTCCTGCGGCTGACCCCCTGCCGCCCACTTCCGCCATTTTACATCGGAGCGCGAGCTTCTATACACACGAGCCCAAGCTGCAGGCGGGTGAGAGGAGGGAGGCAACTGGAGAGGTTGGGAGACGCTAGAAGGAGGGGGGGTCTGCGGCGGGTCACCGCCGCGCCCCGGCCAGGCCCATTCTTCAGATCTCTGGCGACATGTTTTTTTCAGCCTGGTCCCATCCCGGACCCAGGGTCCCTCAGAAACGGATCTGGTCGCGGCGCACTCAACGGAGGTCAGCTCTAGCGGGGGTCAGCCAGTCGGGTCCCCTCCGATCCGCTTCGGCTAACCTGGGCTTGGAAGGCACGTGGAGCCGACCCTGCCACCCCTCCCTCCGCTGACCCAGGTTTGCGAGCTACTAAGCAGCTGGCTGGGCTTCGCGACAGGAGCCTGGTCGACCCGGATTTGAGCTGACCCGGGTTCGTGCGTCCCCGATCCGGGGCGAGAAATTTGCCCCAGAGAACATTCTGGGGCCGCGCATCGAGAAAAACACACCGTCGGATGCCTGGGATTCCGACTCATTCGGTCCGATTCGAATGCGAGCTCGGCAGGCCCGATCTGATTCAGCTCTGGTGCTCCGGCGAACCATTGCGGCCGCCGATGATTGCACGGTGCTACCTTGCATATCCCGGCGCCGCCGATCCGATTTGATTCCGACCCTGCGCCGATGCGGCCCGATTCGATGCACGTTTCGATCAGAGCCGAGTTCCCGATCCGATGCTGACTGATCCTGCCAGGAAGCCCGCGGCCGCCCCGGCCCTGCGTGCCTTCGAGAACGAGCTCGGCGTCCAGCCGCCCACCGGCTTCTGGGACCCCGCGGGCTATTGCTCGGACGGCGACGCGCAGGAGTTCTATCGCCGCCGCTGCGTCGAGATCAAGCACGGCCGCGTCAGCATGATCGCCTGCATCGGCTACATTGTACCGGAGTGCGAATAGGAAAACACATTGCATGAACATGAATTGTTGGATGTCCGCGCGGATCTCTGCTGGGCGCCCCCTGGCGGCACCCCTGGTGCCGCCCCTGGCGCGCTCCGCGCGCCAGGGAGGGGAGTCTCAACGCCGATCCAAGAGTTTCGCGCGGATGCCCCACACTTCATGGTTATGCGTTGTTTCTTCCTCTAGGAGTACTTCAAGTGGCCTGGCTATCTCAGCCCCTCTGACGGCATACAGTTCGCCGACGTCCCGCACGGGCTCGACGCCATCACGCGGGTGCCGGCCGTGGGATGGTTCCAGATCGTGCTATTCGGCCTGTCCATGGAGCTGTTCGCGGCGTACCAGGACCCTACGAAGCTGCCCGGCAAGCTCAGCTCTCGTCTCGTCATCGCCCTGACCGAGATCAGGAACAAGAGCATCGCAGGCGGCGTCAACAACAGTGGCTACGAGTTCGGCCCCTTCGGCATTCCCAACGCCCCGTCCATCAAGGACCCCGAGGCCATCGAGCACAAGAGAACCCCTAACCATAGTGACACATGAGGGATCATAATTCTGGGCGGTTTGATTTGGTACAACTGCAGAAAGCCCTCTATCCCTACTGCTTCTGGCCCTCTTAACTTAGGCCCCCTCCCAAAGGGTTACGGTTCCTGCTGTTGCCAACCGCGAGGTGCGCAAGCAGAAGCTGAACGCGGAGATCGCGAACGGCCGCCTCGCGATGGTCGCCATCATGGGCCTGATGTTCCAGAACGGCACCGTCGGCACCACCGGCCCGGAGATGTGGCTCGGCGCCAGCGCGACGGCGCGGGGCACACCCGATCAGGTGTGCGGGAGGTGAGAGCAAGGGCGCCCTCGAGGGCGCGAAGTGATTCGCGCTTCGCGCTTCGCGGTTCGGCTCCGATTCCTCCTCATCCTCCTCTTCTCCCCTGGGAGGCGGCGCGAGCGCGCGAAGTTATTCGCACTTTGCGCTTCGCGCAGCGCGAAGCGCGAAGTTGGGAGCCCTTGGAGAGCATCGATGACACGCCTCCGTTGGGAGCCCGTCGGCGTGCTGCTCCGTCGTCTGTGTCCGAAGGCCTGGCGCGCCTTCCAGAGGAGCCGTGCGGCGGCGGCGTGCCGTGGATGCTCTTTCCTGCTTCCCTAATGCATTAGGTGTCGTACGGCGCGGGGCTGAAGCCGAAGACGAACATGTCCCCGCGCCCGGAGTATCTGGACGACGGAGAGTCGATGCCCATGCCGGCGCTGCCCCCGCCAGCCGGGAGCGCCCAGGCGAAGCTCCCGATGGCCCTGCGGGGCACCGGGGGGCCGTTCCCCGACGACGTCTGGGACCCGCTGAACCTCATGGAGGGCAAGAGCGAGGAGCAGCTGCTGCACTGGCGCGCCGTGGAGCTGAAGCACGCGCGCGTGGCCATGCTCGCGGTGCTGGGCTGGTTCCACGTTGCGACCGGCTGGCACCCCGTCGGTGACGCGGCCGCGCGCATGCGCGTCTCGGACGATCCTCTGATCAACTACACCCAGCTGCCAATCGGAGGCGCTTTCCAGGTCGTGTTCACCATCATGGTCACGGAGTGGCTCTTCCTCTACGTGTGCAAGCCGCCGAAGGAGGCGCCTTGGGACCTCGTCGGCTGGACACCCACGCTGGTGGCGGATCAGAACCAGCCGGAGTGGAAGGAGAGGCAGCTGTTCGAGCTGAACAACGGCCGCCTGGCCATGGTCGCCTTCTTCGGCCTCGTGTTCCAGGACATGGCCACCGGCGACTACGGCCCGTTCTTCGGGACCCCGAGCGCGTCCGGCGTAGCGAACGGGGCCGGGAGCTTCGACGGCCTCGAGCTCTTCCCCGGCGTGCCGATGCCCAAGAGCCCGGGCGGCCTGACCCCCAACGTCTACCCTCCGGTGGGCTTCATGAGCTACGACCCGCCGCCGCTGTGAGGACTGGCCGCGCACGTTCTCCAGCGGATGCCTTTGGCGGTTTGGATTTTTATAGAAAGGGGCCGCGCCACCGCCTCACCTTTTGTAGTGTTGCAGTGGACGGGGAGTGCGAATCTCTCCTCCCTCTCCCCCCCCTGGAGGAGGAGGAGGAGGAGGAGGAGGAGGAACAGGAGGAGGAGGAGGAGGAGCAGGAGCAGGAGCAGGAGCAGGAGCAGGAGCAGGAGCAGGAGCAGGAGCAGGAGCAGGAGCAGGAGGAGGAACAGGAGGAGGAAGAGAAGAAGGAGGAGCAGGAGGAGGAGGAGGAGGAAGAGAAGGAGGAGGAAGAGGAGGAAGAGGAGCAGGAGGAGGAAGAGGAGGAGGCTTCTCTCCTTCCTCCTGCTCCTCCCCTGTCCCCCCCAACCTCCTTCGCTTCTCCAGCGCCAGTTCTCGAGCCTCGATCATCGATCCTCCTGCCCCCCCCCTCTCCATGGGCCGCCCCCGGGGCCCCCGGGGGCCTCGCAGAAGATCAGGAGCGAAAGAAGGACGTACCCGTACACGAATTCAGGATTTTTCAAGCAGTGGCGCAGCGTCCTGGCTCGCCTACAGCTCCACAAAACAATGTTCTAAGAACCTTTTGTGGTTCCCACGAACTGTTCTTAGAACATTTATGGCTGGGACTGTCTTGTTTGAACACATCGGGTTTATGTTCTAAGAACATTGCTTTTGTTCTTAGAACATTTTTGGGTTCCAAGAGCATTTCGTGGTATGACTATAGGAATGCCTGGACGGTCGGTCCCTGCTCAAATTTCGAGATCACGCATTGCGTGAACGTTTGCATCACGCAGCCAGGGTCTCGCGGATTGGGGGGGCGCGCGTGCTCTGTGGGCTCCCCAGAAGAGGACCCCCCGCGGCCGAGGAGACGTGCGGAGGCCTCCTGGAGGCCTCCAGAGGCTCGGAGGGAGCCCCGGCTCCAGATCCGCACTGCTCCGGGCGATGCCGCAGGCAGGGCGGAAGTCTCCTCCCTGCTTCTCAGGCTCCTTTGATGCCGATGTCCGCCCTACTTTGTCG